GTTCTTGGCCGATCCCCCTGTGTGGGTGTGCGCCTGTATTTGAAGGATCATCATCACCACCACCATCATCATATTGAGCTTTTTACGACGGAGGAGCGCAATTTACCGAGAGCTTGAGCAGCTTCGTCGTAAAAAAGAACATTACGACATTGTGACACTATCGTACCTACAACTCTCTTGTTGAAAAGCATAGTGGATCCCCCGTGAAGTAAAGGTAAGGTGAACAAAATACATGTTTTTTCTAATAAGTTTGCACTGATTACAGCCAACATCGCCGCCTCTGACTCCAATTTTGCAGTGGTATCTGATGCGGTGATCTTCTTTGAAACATGAGAAAATTTGTGGGTTGAAGTCAGCGTAATATTGGGCCTATGAGAATGGTCATGCAGCTGCCTACATGGTTGACTTCCATGTTGCAAAGAGAGTGAAATAAATAGAAGGTACCCCTAAACCATGATATGTAAGTTGTTCATTACTTCAAAGTTTATCGTTGTACATATTGGGAACAATTCAGTGTCATTTGTACAGAGATTTTAAGGTGTAAATAGGTAAAGCCCTGATGACCACCAATCAAAGCACTTACATGTCTGGTCATTGGGTCCCCACAAGGTACTTCTGTAACTTTTAACCCTACGCAATCATGCAACATGTAACGTTAGATAATACAACTAATTTCAATTGAATCTCATTTGATTCGTTTTTAACCAGTGTACTATGTTTTATTATTCTTCTGGTCAAACACTCAAAGCACTTACAGAACACCCTTTTGCCATCTTCGTATTCTGTTGTTCTATTCTATTGGCCTGGAGTGGGCACAAGTGCTTAGTTTTTAACGATGATAGTCTTTCTTGGGGACCTTCAACACCAAACTTTTGGTCTGTCTGTACATTTTTCTATTTGTTCGTGGTAACAATACCCCAAACGGCACCACACGATACCTCAAACGGCCAACAACATCCGCAGCGTCCACCACTATTGCGCAAGATGCAGCGTTCATACTTGTGGGATTGTCCATTAAAAAACAATTATTGCGCATATCTGAGGCACCATAACAAATCGTCGATGTTTTTATGTGTGCTTTTGTACTAGAGAAGGCATACACAAGTAATTATAAGGACCGTAAGGTTTATCGCGCTGCGCTGGCATTGCAACGCGATGCTCAAAAAGGCAAGTGTTTCCAACGCTTTGCTAAGACGACACGGTGGTGGCCCCTGCCCGTCGCTTCGCGTTCTACTTCTTATCACCTCCGAGACAGGCGAGGCGTGCCTCTTTTTCCGTGGGCGAGCACGCCTTCCTTCGCTTTCGAAGATATCTGCCAGATGGCACTCGTGTTAAACGTGCCTCGATGCGCTCGTTCGCCTTCGCTGCACAGATCAAGACTCTCTAACGCAGCGCTGCCAGAACACAATTCACCAATTTTCTCGCGCAAAACATAAGATAAACGTTTTGTCCGCTCACTCCACACGCAAGACTATTGTTTTTCGACGACAATCGCAGTGAAAATGCAGATACGAGGCCATTTTTTAATTTGTTTTGTAACATAATGATTGATTCATATGTGGGGTTTAACGTCCCAAAACCACTATATGATTATGAGAGACGCCGTAGTGGAGGGCTCCGGAAATTTAGACCACCTGGGGTTCTTTAACGTGCACCCAAATCTGAGCACACGGGCCTACAACATTTCCGCCTGCATCGTAAATGCAGCCGCCGCAGCCGGGATTTGAACCCGCGCCCTGCGGGTCAGCAGCCGAGTGCCTTAGCCACTAGACCACCGCGGCGGGGCTGTTTTGTAACATAGGCTTTTACTTGTTGTGCACCTAATGAGCAAATGTGTGAATACGTTACGATGAGCACGCTAAGGTGACTAATTTTTGAGCAACTGTATATTCTCAGAAAGCTTACTGGGGTGCATTCCTGTTGCCTGTTTGCTTTTTCTGGAGTATAGGTACCTTAACCATGACATACGAATGTGTACCATGAATTTCAGGCTGCTCCTGCGTATTGCTGTGCACGACTCCTCACAGCAAGCATTCCTCAATGATCAGTTTGGATGTTCTTTAGAAGAAGCTGAGCAACTTATGCGTATTGCAAAGAAAAAGCAGCTTAAGATCGTCGGTGTTTCGTGAGTATAACAGCATGCAACATAAAGTTTTGTTTTAGCCAGTGGCATTGTGCCGACTTTCTCTTATATCTGACCACTGATTATATATTAACTAAATGATAAATCTAGGTTGACTTAACCAGGTAATATTACTATATATTAGGATCTGTTTCCTTTCCGTGTCTCCAGTACTATCATAGTGTGAGTGATAGGTGATACGATGCGACAACTTGAAACTTCGACCATGATGATTGAATCTAAAACAACACACTCAAGGCGTGGATATCAGGAGTCCCGGTACCCCTGTCGCGCGGTGTATGTCTCTTTCATTAAATCTCTGTAACCCATTATAAATCCAAGACAGGAAATGAATAGAAGTCAAAAACTTAATGTCGTAATGGCCCTGTTGGGTTGACATATATTGCATGGACACACATTGAAGTAGGCTGTCATCCCTAGGCACATGTAGAAAGTGAACCAGACCAAGGGTTTTGCATTTGCTATCTCGACGGATTTAGGTCGCAGATGCTTCTAGGTGCCATTCTTTGTCAGCGTTGCGAAGTGCGTAAACGCTCTTCAAAACAACTCTTTAGAGATAATGAATCGTGACTGTCGTTCGCGACACACAGAGAAAAGGGTTATCAGAGAGGCCAGAAGGTCAACAAGACGAGTGTCTTATCTGCTAACATGCAATGGGGGCAAAGAATAAATAAATGGCGAGTGATAAACCCAGCAAGAATGCCGGAAGTGTATCGACACTGTCTCATAGTATCTCATGGTGCCATCTCCGGGAAAATGTTAGCGTAAGAAATATTTCTGAATTAACATAAGGTGGGCTTATACGACAATTAACGTGTTCTTTCTGAGGTAACCGGCATTCGGGATCCACTTTGAAGCACGCATCAAAAGGCTAAAAATCGCTGGAGAAGTTGCTGATTAAGCATACAGCCTGCTAATGGTATATATAGCCAGTGTGGCCAGTTTCACCTTAAATATGAAGTCTTGTCAGATACCTCACTTTGCAAATTTCTGACGCTGTCCACACACAGTCGATTGTACATGTCCAGCGCTGGGTGTAGATGTCCTGCAAAATTCGTCTGCAGCGACGAACGCTGTTCCCAAAGTTTGGCTTATTTATTCGCATAAAACGATAAGAGTCAGCTCTGGCTCAATTGTACATATAGGCGAGCTACAAGGATGAGAAGTATAGGTAGAACATATAATAAATTCAATCTTTTACCTTCCCATCGCATTTGGAACTTAGCAAACGTATCGTCTTTCACAAAAATATTGCGATAGAGGTGGAACAATGGCTAGAGTTAGTTTCATATGCACACAGATTTCAACAATTAATGAAATCACAGTGTATCCACGGAGCTAATGATGATGAGTGGGCGAAGCGTCCATCCATCTGTCCGTCCGTATCTCTGCCTGTCTCTCTGTGTGTCCGTCTGTCTCTCCGTGCGTTCATCTCTCTGTGCATTCGTCCATGCGTCCTTCCGTCCGTCCATGTGTCCATCCGCCTGCCTGCTTGCCTGCCTGCCTGCCTGCCTGTCTGCCTGCCTGCCTGTCTGTCTGTCTGTCTGTCTGTCTGTCTGTCTGTCTGTCTGTCTGTCTGTCTGTCTGTCTGTCTGTCTGTCTGTCTGTCTGTCTGTCTGTCTGTCTGTCTAATACTGCTGGTTACGCCTGATGGAGGACAACGTTAGACTAAGAGAAGCTTCGCCTTTAAATGTGACGCATTAAAAGGGGACATAGCTTCTTAAAATAACGAAAGAATGTTTCAAGCGACAATCACAGGGATCAGGCATATATATCCCTGAGCTTTGCGCCATTTCCCTTGTATTCGGAAGATAGAAGCACAATAGTATAATCAAGCAATTTTAGCAAGAAACTCCATGGTGTCGACGAAACGCAATATCGAGAAAAACGGTCTAAGCAGAGCAGCCCCATAGATGGCATGGTCACTTGCAAAGCGTCCTCCTTGCTAAGCTGTATCTCTTGTCACCCTCTTATCAAAGATAACGTTTGACGCAAGGAGAGCATCAACAGTCAACACAATGCAGAGCCAAGGCATTCCTCGTTGTCTCGCGTACCCTTCTCTTACTGAAGCACCTACTTTCTCTACACAGAGGGTGACAGAATCTGAAGAGGGTCTGTGCTTGTTTGCCGAGTCGAAAATAAGGACAGACCAGATACCTCTATTAACAGTGCAAGCACACGTTAGGTGCACACTGCACCCACACTGGAGATATATGTGCTACAGTGTACGCTTGAAAGTAACGGAATTGTGTATTTCGTATGTGACAAGTTAGTGAGCTCAACAGAATTAAAAGAAAAAAAAAGGAGATTCGATGCATCGAGTGAGTTTATAAAGCCAGCAGGCTATCGTCATCCATACGAAAGAATACTTAAGAAAGAATACTTTTCATACCCCTCGGCTAATTCACGAATTAGGCGTCTGTCAACGAGGTGGTTTAGTCTTCTCCTTATGCTTTGTGGCCGCGTTAAGAAAAAAATAGTTTTCTGTTTAACCCATGAGTCTTTCAAGAGGGCATTGAATTTTCTCTCATGTTGGAGAAAACCAACTGCAATACCAATGAAATATCATTATTTTTTTCTTCAGTTAAAATTATGCAATGTTGAAAATGTTTAAAACCAACAAAGGAGTAATGTTAACACGTTATGTGCAGCGAGGTGCGTAGTAGAGGATTCTATGAAAAGGTTCTCTCTTCGCTACTTCGTGGCAAGTGACAGAAAAAATGGCCTCACAGGGAAGCCACAGGTGTTTCTATGGATCGCAAACGTTTACAGTTCTGCTTGTTAGTATTCCTATTTTTTTATTCGCTATGTGGTTGCACAGGAGGACGCGAAACTAATTCCCCCATGGCACTTGCAGGTTCGACATGGGTGTGATTTCTCCTACGGATGACGCATTTTTGCTCACTGTTAGAAATGCTCGCTCAGTATTCGACTTGGGACAGCAAATGGGTTTCTCCATGACAGTGCTCAACATTGGTGGAGGATTTCCGATAACTTCCCAAAAGAATGAAGGGTTCTTGCAGGTAAGAACATAATGACTAATTTATTTCAAAGCAATATATTTGATTATAAAAGAAGGGGCAGAAATACTTTTGGGAATGAAACAATACGGCGGGAAGCGTGATAGGATGCCAAATTGGCTGCTAATGTCTACTTATGTATGTTTATAACCTTTTCATGGCTCAGCACAAAAAAGTGTTACTTGAGCTGCTAGTACAAGTGGAACGTAGTACTTGCATATAATCATAACGGGAAAATGCAAGTGCAAATACTGAATATCGCAACCTAAAGAGAATCTACATCATCTTCTTTTAAAACATAACAGCAGCACCGGCGTCGTATATGTAGCTTGAGTCATAGATGTTTCATGCGGAAGTGTTGACTCTTGTACAATCTCAAAACTGTACTTGAGAGGTAACTGAATACTAGGAGAGAAACTACCTACTTGTGCAAAAGAGCTTTCTACATATATATGCAGTTCTGAAATTGCTTTATCGTTAAGCACCAAAGAGAGTACGGTAAAACAAGACATAGTAACAAATTCTTGTGTATCGTGTTTCTAGAAGAAGTATACGGAAAATTTAAGCCGCTTCCCGTTTTTAGCGCTGGCTCTATCAGTGGTGGCATAACGGCATCACTAGGAGAACTGGTGGTAAATAATGTAATTAAAAAACTCGCCTAATATCAGTGATTCACTGAGCGATTGCATTAACTTTTACATTCGCAGGTGTCCCGACTGATAAAATCGGCACTTAATGAGCACTTTCCTTCATCATCGGAACTGACAGTGATTGCCGAGCCAGGACCATTTCTGGTGGCCTCAGCCTTCACTCTTGCGACCAAGGTTGTAGCAAAGAAGAGGAAGGTAACGGCTCTGAAAGGTATGCCACCCATATTGTATTCTTTGAAGGCGCCAGCGAATATCGTACTAGATGAAATCCCCGAGAAGGGAACGCGCAACATAGGTGCTAACTTTAAACATAATGTTCATTGTATCTGTGTGTTTTCTTCCCATGTTCCTGTTCATTCGGTGCTATTTTCGTCAGCTTTATGTTCGATCAAGCGAAATTTTGTCCCTCCTTAACCGCAAAGGGCTTAATAGGAAGAACACATTGTGCACACAGCAAGCGCCGCTTTGAAAAGTTCAGACAATTTCTGTAGTGTTGTGCAGCGCGCAAAGTCATTATAAGCCACGCGTGATGTGGCCACTTCTTCAAAGGCCCTTTCGTCATGCAAAGACACCGCCCTCACTCACTTTGGTGGGAGGAGAGTCAGTTGCATGTTGTCAAACAGCACATTACTGCTGTTGGCTGATACCTGACATAAATCAGGAGTGGCGTTTGAACCAGATGCACTTCTTGCCGCTGAGTGTCCGCACGTGCCAGTGCCAGGTTTAATAGAGGACTAAACTTATATATTAGTAACACTACGCCATACGGGAATCACAATGTAAGGCACAGATTCTATTTCATGATGCACGCCAAGGTAATGACTTAAGTTGACTAGGCTTATCTCTGCCGCCCCATCCCTCTTAGTGTGAATTTCAGCACACTTACTGGGTTGATAGGAAAAAATCACGTGTTTAAGTGTGCCTCAAGTAACCATAACAAACCTCATTCTTGGAAAAATTGATAGACGTTTGCGTCAATCGATTCACTAAGCAATAAACTTCGGTACTTGGGTTATTCGGTAATTACTTGAAAAGGGGCTCGAGACTCATATAGAATTATTTGCGTTTGTATTTAATAACAGGTCTATTAACACTTCCCGAAATACATCAGCCCATCACGCACGCTATTTATTGGTGATCATGCAATCCAAACCTTACTGAATAATGAGATAAAAAGTGGTACAGACAAGTATAATTGAATTAAAGAACACATCACAGATGTCTCTTTAACACATACTACAGTATTCATTGGTGTGTTTCAGCTGGATGGCAACGCTATGACGAAGTCTTTATCAACGAAAGTAAGTACAACAGTATACCAAGAGATGCAAGTGAAGAAAAAGGAATAAGTATTCGGCCGTTAGCAGTGAGTAATTTCTCGTAAAACTTTTATAGAACACAAGTTGAGACGTGGGATAATGATATATATATATATATATATATATATATATATATATAAGGGAAACAAGTGTATACCTAAGGGCTCGTTTTTCCGTGTTTTGACCCAATATTCAAATATATACCCGATAAAGTAGGTGGGGGGGTTAGCCGCCGTTATAGCGCAGGTGTATAGCATCAAACGCGTTATTCGAAGGTCGCAGGTTTGGTTCCTGTTAATGGCAAGATAACTTTTCACCCACTTTTCTTTCTTCACGTTTACATTACAATTTAGTATAATAACTTCCCATATACTTTTTTTGACATTATTGTCTATTAGATCCTATTAATATTGTGTCAAACACGAAAAAACGAGCCCTAAGTATAAAATTCATATATATTTATATATATATATATATATATATATATATATATATATATTATATATATATATATATATATATATATATATTTATATACATATATATATATATATATATATATATATATATATATATATATATATATATATATATATATATATATATATATATATATATATATATATATATATATGAGTGCGTGCACTCTAAAACTTTGAGAGTGCTGCGCACTCTCTTTCGGAGAGCCCTTTTTGTCCCATATTTCACTCTGTTTAAATCACCTCTTGTTCAGGCCAATTACAGTGATTCCCCCGAACGTGTCAAAGCAGTCCCCCTCAACAGAGTAACATAACGCCACCCGAAGCAGAGTAGCAGGACCCCATTGAAGAGAGTAACAGTACACCTCACGAAAAAATAGCACAAATTGAGGGCACATCAGGATTTCGAATTGTTTTTGATGAATCTCCACGCATGCGGATGGTAAGGATAGCTAAATACGAAGACTACGACAAAAACTGAACAAACTAAATGTGAAAAAAAAAACTTGACTGAATGGGACTCGAACATTCTACCAAGACGCACTACATACTGCTAGCCCGCCACGCTAACCACTAGACCGCACTGACAGAAGGTGATAGCTGTTTAGTTTTTTGTCATAAGTAATGTTGGTGACATTCCTGCATTTTATTGCTTACACGCATAAATTTAGGTGTCCCAGCTCTTCTCAAAATTATTCAGACTGCAGCTAACATGTTTACTGTGTTGTTTTGTGCTTTGTGAGATTGGAACCTCTATCCGACACGGTTTTTTTTTCTTACAGTAGGAAAAGGAAGTTTAGCGCAACAAATTATACGAACGTCATTTGCACTGACGCGCTTAGTAGTTAGTCATTTCTTCGTACAAAACATCACGCTTCTGAAGTTTACACTAAACAATTTAGTTTTTTTTTCACCTCCTTGGGCTTATTTTCGATCATTGTTGTCCACGTTCTACGGCTAAAGCCACAATACTTGACTGTAGCCGCGCTGGACGTTAGGCTGACGACACCATCGCCTTTGTGCGATGGTCGTAGCAAAAACATAAATATTAATATAAAAAGAATTTCACAGCCATTTGCGTTGAGTTTTGATCGTGACCGATTGAATGAGGTAGTATTCGGTAATTTCCCTACACTGATTCAAAGCTAAAAACGTGTTTATTAGGAGTTCCAAGTGCCTTCTAGTACGCTTAATTTCACTGGCGCGCACTGGAAACGGTGTTATTTTAATAATCACCTGTAATTCCTCAACAAACAAATGCTGCTTGTTTTGATGCATATATGTGTGGTTATTAGGAAGTGCTAATCACTCCCAGGGTGCCGACGCATCTAACGGTAAACAATAGCAGGCGTATAATCGTGTTTTACTCTCTCATGCCCGAAAGTATATGGGCATTTCACTCTCTCAAAGAATGGAAGAGTAGAAAGCTATCATTTCATAGAGAGTGAAATTGAATTTCACTTCATCTGATGCTTTGCTAGAGTAGAAGAACACTCTGAAGAGTACCTTGGCCTTTTTACTCCTGCGATACCCTCCGCAGTTTTTAGAGTGTGTGTTAACCTGACTTCACTTGCAGCAAAGTCAGGTCATCTTGCAGTGAAAAGATTTTTGTAACATCTCAGTTGAGATTTGTTATTATGAAACAAAAATACAGTGACCATCTACACACTTACTTACTGTAACTCTGCAAAAATCCACCTGTTTTTGTTGGATACTGTGAAATATGACTGATGCACGAGCATCACTCCCTAACGTGTAATAAACATAAATGTCAAACAGCCTGGTCGTAATACTGCAGAGATGTTGAGATTACCCTCACTGTAAATGATATACTAGTTTTGAAAATAAATATTCTAAGCGACGAGATAGTGACTATAAGCAGTGAATTATGAAATTACATTATTTTTACTATGATGGCTTTGTGGTGACACTTATTCTGATATTGAAGACGCATGAATGTTTAAGGCACAGCATATCAGGGCATAGAACTAAAGAAATACTGGTTGGAGTTCAACTCACGCTAATATTGCTCCGGCTTAGCCATTTAAAAGATTAGTTTCACCACCTTAGCGAAGCGCTGAGAGCAATAAGAACAATTGTAATGGTATACGAAGTGAGGCTTGCAGCCAACTCTTTTGTAGCTGACCTCGCGCAGCTCTACAAAACGCTGGTGTAAGGGAATACGACCGCTCCAGCGAGAGATGCTCTTTGCGCAGAGTCTCTTGGAGTTGAAAGCGCAGCCCGTAGAAAGGTATACTAGCCGCCCTCTGATGGTGGCCGGGATAGCACGTGCTCCAGCGATCGCGACCACTTTCTTGAGGGCTAATTTAATTATTTATATGTGGGGTTTAACGTCACAAAACTACCATGTGATTATGAGAGACACCATAGAGGAGGGTTCGGGAAATTTCAACCCCCTGGTGTTCTTTCATGTGCAACCAAGTTTGAGCACACGGGTCTTTAACGGCTGACCACATGTGCGCGTTGCAGCCTGTCAGCGCTTGGCTTTTCGACACGGCGCCATGCCTTCTGCCCGTAGCGAGAGAACGGGCCCGCGGCTACTCGAAGCTGTGCTCTCCCTTCTCTCCATAAGAAAAGAAACACGCATGGTGAGGTCTTTAAATGAAAAGTTCGATGTTGCTGTTCCAGCGTCCCCCCCACCCCTCGCGTCATTTCATGCTAGCTCAAGATGGTCACAAAAGACGTGATCAAACTGCAAGCACGTGTGGTAGATCTTAGTACTCTCGATAAGATCTTTTTTAAACCACCTCAGTGAGTCGCCCGAACCGTTTTGATCAAGCACTCTTCAAATAAAAACTACCGGGCACGATACACTGACGTCTTAGCATATCTCATTTATTGCGGGATCTCACCACAAAAGCTCACATTTCACGCCAAAATGGCTCGTTTCGAAATGGTTTAGCTTGCCAAGGCTGGCGCAATGCTCAGTCTTTTAACACAAAATTGCTTTATTCTGGGGTTCACATAAACTTTAATGACGCATTTCTGTCTCGGATACGTCGCACCAAAATTAAAAAAAAACATGGCTGATCTCCTATTTTAGGAATATAACACAGAAAAGTGCAACATGTCTTCACAGAGGCAGTTGAGGAATCATTGTGCATTGTTCCCCATCAATGGCGAAGGTATGAATGCGACAGCGACAAATTGCTAAGTCGCGCGAAGAACGACAACCAGCTTGGAGCTTACAGCGCAGCTCAAGCAGAAAGCACGCACAAAATGAGCATACACATGACATTCGAGAGTTATCAACTATCGCAGCTTGACAAATAAAGGGCCCTACGCAAACAAAAAGACAGATGAAGCAGGCGCACAGGTATACACCAGAAAAGCGCAAAGAACTGTCAGACTTCCTATTTCTTTGTGTGCGCGCAGCGTGCTTCTTCCGTAAATGGCACCGCGGCTGCGAGGGAAGCGACTTTCGTGCGTGCCGGGATAACGAGTTCGATAAAGCGCGCAGGAGCAACTGTTCTTTGTGAAGGCGGCACTCAACGAATAGCTAAAGGCTAGAAGTGACGACCTTGAGAGCGCACCCAACACTAGACCTGAGCGCCATCTCTCTACTGTTGACATAAACGCGCTGCAAGAACGAAGCTCTGAGGATCGCCAAGCGTATACATGGTGTATATAAATGGTTTCCCACTAGCAATTAGCGCCACGCGCTGCGAATCGAATTGTCGCTGGTTCAATGGCCACAAAAAGAGCCTGGTATTCTTTTTATTTTCTTTTGCTATGTGTTATATATTTCGCATCGCCATATCCGTGACAGAAGCACGTGACGGATATGACATGGTGAACCCATGTCATATACCGTGGTGGACCCTGTCATAAAACACGTTCGTGTTAAATAACGGTGAAAAAAATTGGCCCCGTATCTGCATGTTAATCTGAAAATGTCGTCGAAAGACGATAGTCTTGCGTCAGGAGAGAGTGAACAAAACGTTTATTCGATGTTCTGTGCAAGAAAATTGGTGAATGGTATTCTGGAGGCCGTGCGTTAGAGTGCCTCAAGCGTGCAGCCGCGGCAAACGAGGGCATCAAGTCATGTCACACGTGAGACATGAGCGCTATCTGGCAGTTATCTTGGAAAGCGGCACGTGTGGCTCTGAGACGGGCGTGCGCACCCGTCTCACTGGTGATAAGGTGTATAACGCAAAGCCAAGGGCTCCGAATGCACAAAATAGCAGCCCCAAACAAAGTGCCTAAAATATCAGAGGTGTCAGTTCAAACACAGCTCGCCTTTTGTTCACTGTGTTCCAAGCGTTGTGTGCCTGATACTACTGTCACGCGGCCGTGTATACGTAGGCAAAACCAGCTGTTCTATAAATATTCGCTTACAGAAGCATAACAGAGCGATATCCTCAAAAGAAGGTACCCACTAGGCACACGATCGCATCATGTACGGTTGCACACTTTTTTTTGTTGACGTGACCATTCATGCAATCTCAACATAGAGATAAAACCGCCCGTCAAAAAATCGGAGCTTTCCACGTCAAGACAAGTGGGGAAAGATGTGTCAGTCATCCGCCTATTTCCATTTCAGAGAA